TCCTGGATTCCCTGTATTTTCAGTTCCTATCTGTATACCCTGGTATTTTCATTTGCTTTCTATGCATGTGAAAACTGGACAAAGAAAAAGGAAGCCCCCAAATAATGATGTCCTAGAATTATGATGTTGGAGAATATTGAATGCCCCATGTAGAATAACAGGTCTATTTTGGAATGCAACCAGAATGCTCCAGAGGCAAGGGTGGTGAGACTTTCTCACATACTTTGGACACGTGATCAGAAGGAACCAGTCCTTGCTTGTTGAATCAGAGTATCAGTGAAAAAAAGGAAGCCTCAAGATGGATTGACATCAAGATGGATTGATTTCACACAGTGACTGCAACAATGGGCTCAGATAGAGCAATGATTGTGAGGATGTTGCAGGAATGGGCAACGTTTGCTTTGTTGTACATGAGAGTGCTGAGTGGGAACTGATTTGACTTCACTGAAGAAAGGTTCCTTCTCTCAGTTTATTGTCACGGATCAGGAAGATGAGGCTGTCTGTTCCCATAAAGACTTAAGTCTCAGAAACCCCATTTAGGGTCACTATGAGCCAGAACCAACTGGTTGACTGTTATTAGGTGCATCAGGAGACTCTGAATGATGCAAATGGTTAATTATTCACTACTAATCAAAAAGTCATTTAAAATAAAAGTCATAAAAAGACAGAAAATAATTAGATATCCAAAAGTCAGGAACTTGCTCTTGAATGTACAAGAGCTAAAGGAAATTGAAGAAATGATGAAGTAAGAGTTGAGCAGAAAGTTGGACAATCAATAAGGTAGACCATAGAATTGACACATTTTTATTTTGGGGTTGGCAAAGAATATTGAGGGGAACTGATCACAATGATCTACATATAACCCACTCTCTGAGGGATGGACAACAGAAAAGTGGGTGAAGGGAGACATTGGTCAGTGCAAAGTGCAAGACATGAAAAAATAATAATTTATAAATTATCAAGTGTTTGTGAGAAGGAGGGGAGAGAAAAAAAATGAGCTGATACCAAGGGCTCAAGTAGAAAGATGTTTTGAAAATGATGGCAACAAATGTACAAATGTGCTTGACACAATGGATGTATGGATTGTGCTAAGAGCTGTATGAGCCCCCAACAAAATTATTGTCTTAGAAGTACGGGGTGGGGGGGGGGGAGTACAGGCAAAACGCTCTTTGGAAGGGAGGTTAGTGAGGCTTTATCTCAAGTACTTTGGACATGTTATCAGGAGAAACCAACCCCTGGAAAAGGCTATCAATTTTGTTAAAAGAGCGGTCACCGAAAAAGATAAAGGTCCTGGAGGAAATGGGTTGACCCAGTGGTTGCAGCAAAGGGTTTACACATGAACAGTTGTGAGGCTGAGGGAGGACTGGTCCGTTGTGTTCTATTGAGCAGAATGCCAAGATGAGTCAGGATCAACACAGCAGCAACCTCAACTACCCTGTTTCCCTGAAAATAAGTGTCTTAAATTAATTTTTGCTCCCAAAGATGCGCTAGGTCTTATTTTCAGGGGATATCTTATTTTTCCATGAAGAATTGGTACATTTATTGTTGAACCAAAAAAAGGGAAATTTATTACCTGTATATGGCACGGTAGTGGTTGTCATCACAAACCAGCATAACTAGGCAAACTGTGAATCCTACAGTATCAAGAATTTCTTGTTACTACCATTATTTCCATGTACAACAATCTATGGTACATTTACTAATTTATTCAATGAGTCATGTCACCATCTTCTGGAACATCATCCTAACAATCCAAACCCTTATTTTCGGGGAGGTCTTATTTTTCAGGGATTGACAAAACTGTAAGTAGGTCTTATTTTCCGGGGATGTCTTACTCTCGGGGAAACAGGGTAGTACATAGTAAACACACACAGGCATCTTTGGCCAAAGACCTAGTAATCTTCCTACAACAGAAAACACCCTTTGGAGCACAGTCTTTGACATAGAAGGGTAGTCATTAAGTTAGACAACTGTTGGGTTAGACAACTGTTTTTGTTTGTATTAATACATGCTTTCTCTGGGCCTGTTAGGTGCCACTGAGTGATTCTGACTCAAAGCAACCCTATGCACAACAGAACAAAACACTGCTCGGTCCTGCGCCAACCTCACAGTGAAAAGCCAGTTGTGAAGAATTTTGTGTTACGTTGTAGTGTAATCATGCTTTGTGAAGGCTTTGGTCTTCACTATGTGCTTCGTCTTTTTGGCTTTCAGCCAGGTTATATGATCTGTTTATCAAGCGTCCAATCCTGATAATGATATAGACTCTATCTAGCTTCTCAGATTTGTTCTACATATAACTTGAGTAAGTATGGTGAAAGGATACAACCCCAACACACACCTTTTCCTGACTTTAAACATGCCGTATCCCCTTGTCCTGTTAGAATGACTGCCTCATGAACACAATGAAGTGTTCTGGAATTCCCACACTTGGTAATGCTAACCATAATCTGTTATAATCAACACAGTTCAATGCCTTTGCATAGTCAATAAAACGTTTGTACACTACACTGCTCTTTTAAAACACAATGCAGCAAATCTTAGAGGCCACAAACTGCAAATTGTAATGGACAAAAGGATCTAATGGAATTAAAAATATTGGACCTAGACCTTTCCTCCAGTTTCTAGTTACTGATAATGGAAAGGTCAGTGACTCAAACCTAGAACCCACTCCCTTGGAGAAAGGTGTGGCGGTTTGCTTCCTTAAAGCTTGCAGCTTGGAAACACTTTGGGACAGTTCTACCTTCCTATCTGCAAGCTATGAATTGCAATTGACTCACAGTAATGAGTTTTTTCCAGTTACTTTCATGTATGAAATATCCTGTTAGCACACATAAAAGAACTGTCTAATAACTTGAATATTAAGTGCCTAGTTCGAAAGCTTTATTTTCTCTACTGCTGTATAATTTGTTGTCTAACTTTTAAGGTTATATAAAGACATAATACCCTAGTAGTGAATTTTAGTTCATTTGAAGAATTTTAATTAACTGCATCATATATTATTCATTTTTCAGTGTGTATGAAACTGCAGTTTTGGTTTGTTTTCTAAACATCATCTTTAGAAAAGTAATCTCACTTGCTATCCAATGATAATTCCCTTATGGAATTTGTTAAAAGTTTTATTACCACCTGATATGAGAAAGGCTAGTGTATAGGTAAGAGAACTTTTCTTTCAAAATTTTCTGACTTCTGCATCACATAAGATACTCATAACTTGATATCCACAAATACCTGAGACTATGGATGAATTTAAGAAATAAACTCCTGAAGGCACAATATATGCAAACTGGTATGTGCACATATGGGGGTGTTTCACAAAAGTTCACGGAAAAATGGAATTTTTTTCCACCAAACTTTTAGAAGCCTCCTCATATGTGACAATTTTCTGGGAAGAGCATTCAAAGCTCACAAGAGAACTATCACCAAAAAAGTCAAGCCACACTTATTAGAAAATATTACTTATAAATACAATCTAAAATAAATTAT